ATCAGATTAACGTTGATTTTAGTTTATCTAAATACTTGGGTATCTAATTGATAATTATATCTAAATTCTTGGGTATCTAATCAGATTAACGTTGATTTTAGTTTATCTAAATACTTGGGTATCTAATTGATAATTATATCTAAATACTTGGGTATCTAATCAGATTAACGTTGATTTTAGTTTATCTAAATACTTGGGTATCTAATCAGATTAACGTTGATTTTAGTTTATCTAAATACTTGGGTATCTAATTGATAATTATATCTAAATTCTTGGGTATCTAATCAGATTAACGTTGATTTTAGTTTATCTAAATACTTGGGTAGCTAATCAGATTAACGTTGATTTTAGTTTATCTAAATACTTGGGTATCTAATCAGATTAACGTTGATTTTAGTTTAAGGTAGAGTCCAACCATATTAAAGCCAATGGAAGCGTTGTTGGTTTGAAAAAAGAATTAACGTTTTTGATTCGATAAATAAATAAAACGTTGAATAAAATGTTTAAATACTTTTTTTTTCTTTAAATCTAAGTTTGTGTAATGGATGTTTTAAAAAAAAAATTCTGATTGTAATATTACATTTATATATTTTCCTGAAAGTTTTATTCGATTTGAACAAAAACAAAAAAATATTATTACTGTCTCTACCTTCTACAAATTATTTGTAAATTTAATGGATAATATTATGATGAACCTAATTGAGAAACTTAATTGTTTCCTATCACACGTTTCGCTTCTCCTCTTGATCAACCAGGATATTACAACTCATAAAAAAAAACATTTTTTCAAACAACCATTTCGAAACTGAATTCCTGATTTATTTCATATTTTTTGTTAGTTTTATCTTGTAGTTATATAGAAAAGTGGATACTGCGGGTATGCGAGATAGAGTTAATTACTCGCTCTGCAATGCGTGCTTCATTGCATAACCTCAGTGAAATACAGTGAAGTAATCAAACAGGGGTGTAAGACTAGCCCTCGACTTAGCTTATAGATGGACAATTTTTACTGAGTTTGGAAACACAATTAGCGAACTGAGAATATAATTAAAATTGGAGTAAAAACTGATAGAAATTGTGTAAAACTATTTGGAATAGTGATTTCCACTTATACTCCATGGGGAATGTTCTAGAGTTTGATAAAAAGGTTAGAAGATAACGACCTTTACACACCAGATAATTATATGAGAACTTTTACTTCAAGCGACGTTTCGCCTTCATCAGACGAATATTGTAATATCAAACAGTTTTATGTACTTGACCTGAAGAATCCGCAAAAAACTTTTACTTCAAGCGACGTTTCGCCTTCATCAGACGAATATTGTAATATCAAACAGTTTTATGTACTTGACCTGAAGAATCCGCAGTTATCTGGAGTGTATAGGTCGTTGTTTTTTTTTTAAAAAACCTTATTATCAGAATGTGTAAATCTCCCCAGTATGCATTACAATTTCTGAAAGACGACAAAAATGCTATAAATTTGATCTAGTAAGACCAATACTGTCTCGGCTAAGAGACCTGGATAGAACAACTCATATAATGACGTCATCCTGTGCAACGACTAAGTGACCTGTATAAAACAACTCTCACACCGTGACGTCATCCTATGTAACGACTAACAGACCTCGATAAAACAATTCACTCTATCGTGTTATCCTGTGTAATGGCTAACAGACCTAAATAAAACAATTCACACTATCGTGTCATCCTATGTAACGGCTAACAGACCTCGATAAAACAATTCACTCTATCGTGTTATCCTGTGTCATGGCTAACAGACAAAGATAAAATAACTCACACCAATTCACTCTATCGTGTTATCCTGTGTCATGGCTAACAGACAAAGATAAAATAACTCACACCAATTCACACTATCGTGTCATCCTATGTAATGGCTAACAGACCTAAATAAAACAATTCACACTATCGTGTTATCCTGTGTAATGGCTAACAGACCTAAATAAAACAATTCACACTATCGTGTCATCCTATGTAACGACTAACAGACCTCGATAAAACAATTCACTCTATCGTGTTATCCTGTGTCATGGCTAACAGACAAAGATAAAATAACTCACACCAATTCACACTATCGTGTCATCCTATGTAATGGCTAACAGACCTAAATAAAACAATTCACACTATCGTGTTATCCTGTGTAACAGACCTATATAAAGCAAAGCACACCATGATGTATCCTGTGCCACAACTAAGAGAACTGTATAAAACAACTTACGCCATGATGTATCCTGTGTCACGACTAAGAGACCTATATAAAGCACACCATGATGTATCCTGTGTCACGACTAAGAGACCTATATAAAGCACACCATGATGTATCCTGTGTCACGACTAAGAGAACTGTATAAAACAACTTACACCATGATGTATCCTGTGTCACGACTAAGAGACCTATATAAAGCATATCATGATGTATCCTGTGTCACAACTAATAGACCTATATAAAGCACACCATGATGTATCTTGTGTCACAATTAAGAGAGCTATATAAAGCACACCAAGATTATCCTGTGTCACAACTATTAGACCTATATAAAGCACATTATGATGTATCCTGTGTCACAACTAATAGACCTATATAAAGCACACCATGATGTATACTGTGTCACAACTAAGAGAGCTATATAAAGCACACCATGATTATCCTGTGTCACAACTATTAGACCTATATAAAGCATATCATGATGTATCCTGTGTCACGACTAAGAGACCTATATAAAGCACACCATGATGTATCCTATGTCACAAGTAAGAGACCTATATAAAGCACACCATGATGTATCCTGTGTCACAACTAAGAGACCTATATAAAGCACACCATGATGGTATTATTAAAACAACAACAAGGACAGCATATCGCATTATTGTATCAATTGTACAATAACTCATAATTAGAACACAAAGTACGATCGATTAGTCAATAAATTACTGATTTTTCTACAGTTCAATAATCAGCCAGTAAAAAAAGCTGATTTTTCCATAGTTCAATAATCAGCCAGTAATAAAAAAGTTGATTTTTCTATTGTCTGATAATCAACCAGTAATAAAAAAGCGGATTTTTCTATTGTCTGACAATCAACCAGTGATAAAAAAAGCTGATGTTTCTCTTGTATCGTTTAATGAAAACAGTGGAGAAACGTATTATATTATATAGTAAACAATGTGGAGAAACGTATTATATTATCTAGTAAACAATGTGGAGAAAGGTATTATATTATATATAAACGAGGTGGAGAAACGTATTATATTATCTAGTAAACAATGTGGAGAAACGTATTATATTATATATAAACAATGTGGAGAAACGTATTATATTATATATAAACAATGTGGAGAAACGTATTATA